AGTAACCTTTATCCCTGTGATTCAGTGCATCCAAGTGAGCCCCGCGGACAACACACCCCATACAGGCAGGAATAGGTAAATGAGAAGCGAGGGTTTGAATGGTGCCCACCAGAGAGACTCTAGTGGTCATTTTCATCCGAGGCCGGGGTGGGTGGGCTGCGGCATGGTTGGCAGAGCTCAACAGTAAATAGTTCCTCCTCCGCCCTCCCAGCCTCCCCCCAACGCTGTGCATTAGGATGCCAGTAGGTGCTGGGTCTTTGCACCAGGAATAACACTGGCAAGAAAGGTGACCCCACTTTAAGCAAATTCGCTTCGTGCAGAAAAACTTTACCCAACAGCGCCCTGTCCTACATTAACAGATTCCCCATCAGGCATCTTCAAATCTCAAAGTGTGAGAACCATAGTGGGGCTCAAAAGATTGACTCTACCAACTTCCCGATTTGACAGATGGAGGCCCCGAGGCCTGAGAGGAAGGCCACACAGCAGTGCCAGTCCCCAGCTGGGGTGAAAACCCAGGGCTCCTGACTTCAGTGGTTCTCTTCCTATGTTTGACCATCTTTGGTTACATCTGTGCAGGGATGCGTTCTCTTTCATACCTTCATTTTGGATTAGCTAGGCCATTCGTGTATGCAGCTGTAAAGGCAGGTTGCATTTTTGCAACTATAGGTTCAAATGAATTCTGCCATTGGAAAACCACACTTTATGTGGGCCATTTTCCCACCAGGGGGAAATTCATATCTGGCCTGGCGGTGGCAAAGACTCCTCCTCCTGGGGGACCTCTTCCTCGGTGTTTTATTCTCCTCTGTGAAGATGGGGCAGTGGGGAGAGCAGTAGTGAAGCCAGGGAGACAGGTGACCGAGGGATACGGCTCCAAGCCTGGCTTCCTCCCGCTGATCAGGTGACCTCAGGCAAGTCCCTTGATGCCCCATGTCTTCATCTGTAACATGGGAAGATAATGCTCACCTTGGGGGTTGTGAGGAGTAAATTAGGTGAACTATTTGAAACATCTGGCAAATAATTCCCAGTTCAGAAGTCAGATTCAGGTGTCTACCTGTCTGGATGCGCTCCCCAGCTCTGCTACATACTAGCTTTATAGCCCTGTATCAGCTACTTAAACTCTCTTGGTCTCAGTTTCCTCATCTGTAGTATGAGGTTAATAATAGTACCTAACTTATAGAGATGTGGTTCCCAAAGGGATGTGGTTCCCAACCTGTGTGCCCAGGCACTCTAGAATGCTACAGGGGGTGCTGTGGGATATTTTTAATCTCCATGGAAACACAGCAATACTGGACAGCTGCCAGATACCACAATAACTACTAGCTCAACATAGCTTACAATTCCAGCGTCACACACACTTCTTTCCTTTAGATGCCACCATACCTTTGCAAAGCTGGGAATTTGGCATTTGGGAGTACTCTGAGACAAACTGTGAGGGCAGCAATGTCTCCTATGATTCCAAGACATCCCCATTATAAGTCATTGTGGCTATATAGGAATGTAATACAAATATTACCTTTCTTTCAATTTACGTGTATTTTTTTTTCCAATGGATACTAAGTTGTTAGGATATACACACACACACCCACAAACACGTAAGCTGGTTGGATCTAACTACTTAATAAACAAAACCACTAGGAATTTCTTTTGGCCGTGGGGTAAAATTACTGGGTAAAAATTACCAAGACATTAAAGACCAAAAAAGTTTGGGAAGCTCTGTCAAGGATTGCCGCAGGGCTCAGTGAGTTAATATAAAATCACCCTCTGAAGGCCTCTGGCAGAGGGAGCACCCAGGAACCCCCAACTTCATGATTCTTCCTCCTCCAAGCTGGAGAGGGAAGGCTCAGGTGTCCCCCCTCCAGGACACCTGAAGAACCTTCCTCAGCCGCTAAGGCCCAAGCCAGGGCCAAGGAGGAGGGGACATGTCCACTGGTCAGGACAGGGGCCCAACTCAGTCACTACCCAGGCCCTGGCAGCACCTCCCACACACCTTTAATTTGTGTTCACTGAGCACCTACTGTGTGCCGGCCAGCACGTAGTCCATGGTGGTCCCTGTGGGGAGGAATCTCAGGTCGGCCCTTGCTGCTGCTTCCTTGTTTCCTGCAGGACATCTGAGGGATGGGGATGTGGGAAAGCGGGCAGTGGCTGCGTAGAGAGCCACCCAGCACTGCCCTGAATGACAGGGAGGCAGTGATGAGGATGCCCAGCCATCCTCTTGCCAAGACCAGGGCTGAGTCTTCGTGCCAGGGCTGAGAGGAGGGGTGGGGTGGCAGGGTGGGGCACGGGGCCGCCAGACTCAGGCCTGCTGCCCTAATGGATGTCTAATGTTGACTTTCCTCAGTCGAGTCTCCGCCTGCTTTGTAAATGAGCCACATTAGGGTCATGAAACAAAGTCATAAATGCAGCCCGCAGTGCCACAGAGAGCCAAGGCGGCCGTCACCTGGAGGCTGTGTGGTTAGAAGGTAGGGCAAGCCTGCAGCTGCATCCGTGGGTTCCCATATACCTGCTCTCATGGCCACCATCCCCAGAGGGGGGTCCAGTCCCCCTATTTCACAGATGAGGTGCCTGAGGCCAGTCAGGACTGGTTCAGACCCTGGGGTGTCTGAGTCTGAAGCCTGAGCCCTGCCCTACACTCCTCAGGCCTGAGACTGAAGCAGGGATGCTGGTGGTGGGAGGTGGGCCTGGAGTCCTCTTGGCTGCACCCTGCTCTCCCTAGAACTGCCCGCCTGGCGGGAGGGCCACAGTGAGCAGCTCTCAGGCCACCGGGAGACCCATGTCCAGCCCCCTGGGCACTGTGTCATCTCGCCATCAACTGCCCACATTCCCAGACCCTAGGGGCTGCCAGTTTACCTACAGAGAAGGTGTCTCCCTGTCTGGCAGAGGAAAGCAGGTGTTTGGGAGCCCTGGCCTTGCCTCGGGAATCCTCGGTGCTTTTCTTAGTTTAGATGCCCACTAACCAGGCGACCTTGCGTCACTTTGATGGACTTCAATTTCCCAAGCTTTGAAACACAAAAAACAGTCCTGGCCTTGCTGGCCCTTTGATGAGAGAGCCCCCATAACTGCAGACACCCGGCCAGTGTCAGGGTCTATTAGGAATCTCAGGTATGGGGACACCCACAGTGTTATGGAGCTGCTCCAAAGATAGGCAGTGTGGAGCCCCGGGCAACACTGAAGTCTGGTTTCTTGGGTTCAAACCTTGGTTCTGCCTCTGGCCAGCTGTGTGACCTTGGGCAAGTTGCTTAACTGCTCTGAGCCTCAGCTTCCCCATCAGTAAACTGGGGACCAATATAATATACCTTACAAAGTTGTTGCAAGAATTAGGTAAGTTAACTATGTAAATGGAAACATAGCAGTTAATTCCAGGGAAGCATTAGTTGCTCTTTTGATGCGGCAGTTTGTACCTAGGCTCCTCCTAGGCGCTCGTGCATGTTTATCTCATATGATCCTCAAAAGATCCCAGAGAGAGGAGGAGTGCTCACTTCCCTTCCCTCTTCAGAGACAAAGTAATGAGGTTGGAGTTAAGGGCTCTCCATGGGTCACAGGGAACATGCTGGATTCATCCTTTTTCTTGCTGGCTTCCCCTTCGATCCCCCAGGTCACGCACACATACCCCACCCACAGCCCAGAGCTTGGAGCCAGTGACAACCCATGCATTTTCTCAGAGCCTCCGTCTTAGCAGAAGCTGTGATCCACAAGGAGATGACACTGATAAAGCATGTTAGGCACATTTTGTTCATTCTGCTCTTGAAGTGAGCATTCTGCTCTTGAAGAACCATGTGTCCCTTTGGCCCCTCTGCCCAAAGGGGGACTCCCCATACCTGAGATTCCTGTGGCCTCCTGGGGCCCCAGCTCCACTTGATGGACTGGAGCTCTGGGACAGTGACAGGACTGCACAGGCTGGCGAGGGGCTGGGCAGACACATGCACCCCTGCAGCTTAATTCGTTATTTCCTCGGGAGCAGTTAGCAGAGGAGGACAAGCCCCCTGCCGCTTGTCCCCAGCCACCTGATTGTTTAGGGCTTGGCATTGGAAAGTCAATTTTCCTACGTGGATTGTAAACCAGTAGCCTGGCCCAGCCTGGTTTCCCTCCCTCCCCACACTGGTGGTGGCCAGGCCCCTCTCCCTTCCTGTTTGTCTCACCTCCCGAGATGCTGTTCTTTCCAGGGAGCCGGCCGGTTTCCATCTGGCCCCTTTGCGGGAGGAGATGGCCGCCTGCACAGCCTCACTGCCTTCCCAGCCTCCCGAGCGTCCTCATCCATAGGGCCGAGGGTGTGGATTTGGCTGAAGTGGGAAATGCTAAGGGGGTGGATCAGAGCCACAGACCAGAGGAAGGGAAGGTCTGGGGGGAGGCTACAGGGAAGGTGGTCTCCCCTGCATGCTGCTGCCTGCCGTGGGCTTCCTGGAGGAGGCAGCACTCTGGGAACAAGCACCAGGGAGCCCAGGCCTGCTGCTGCCACCCCACCTCAGCCCACCCTCGCCCCTGTGGGCCCTGACTTGTCTCCCTGCCTCCATCAGCCTGGCTGGCTGGGGCTGCACAGGGCAGCTGTGGCTTCGGGGCAGAGCCGGCCTGGTTTGAGCTCCAGCCTCAGGCCCATTTCCAGCTCTTCACATACTGCGGCATCGCCGTGGGAAACTGGAGGGAGGCCGGGGACGGCCGGTGGGGAGAGCTGGAGAGGGGTGTCCTTGCCCTGACGGGTCACCCCCACCTCCCTGGGCCACCCTGACTCCTCCATCTGTAAAAAAGTAGAATCACACAGCATCACAGGGCTGGGACTGGCTCCAAAACACAGCCTCTTAAAAGCAGGTCACAGTGGGAAAACCGAGGCCACAGGAGTGTCAGACCTCGCCCAGGCCACAGAGGACGTCCCAGCAGGTCTCCTCCAACTGCCTAGCCCTCCTCCTCCCCTGGCCTCCTCTCTCTGCCACGGCCCCCAGGGGATGGAGGGGACCCGGGCCTCCCAGCCTGTGGCCTCACGGAGCCCTCCCACCCTCCACCCTCTGCAGGCACTGATTCTGGCAGCGAGGTGCTCCCAGACTCCTTCCCGTCGGCGCCGGCAGAGCCGCTGCCCCACTTCCTGCGGGAGCCACAGGACGCCTACATCGTGAAGAACAAGCCGGTGGAGCTGCGCTGCCGTGCCTTCCCCGCCACGCAGATCTACTTCAAGTGCAACGGCGAGTGGGTCAGCCAGAACGACCACGTCACGCAGGAGAGCCTGGACGAGGCCACCGGTGAGCCCACCCCACTTGCCGGGCACCCCCAGGTCACCCCAGGCCCAGAGGGTCCTGGGCCTGGCTCCACCCTGGCTCCGTGTGAGACCTCATACAGCCACGGCAACCCCGGGCCTCCGTGTCCCCTCTGAGGTTCACCCTGGACCAGTATTTCCCCAAGGCTTGGCCGCTTGCCCTGTCTGACTGGGTGACCAGGTGAAACAGCACCGAACCCCTTGCTGAGAGTGGGCTCCCTTTTCCAGTTACCTTCCATCCTCTGCTTACATCAGAGAGCAGGTCCAGTCGAGGACAAGGTTCTTCCCCGCTCCCCCAGCACCTGCTGTGCTCCCTGTTTAAGGAAGAGGAGCCGGCTCTGTCTTGCAGCCCTGCCCCCAACACCCAACCAGAATTCTAGACCATCGCTAGTTTCACAGGTCCTCTGTGTTGGTGAGAAGTGATACTGTTTTTGTTCACAATAATGATGCAACGCTTCCTTCATAGAAATCAGTTGGCTTCGGTTTTTTAAAAAAGGCCTGTAGTATTAAGTAAATAATCATAGAGGTGGTGCTAGGATGCAGCCCAAGTCCTGCAGGAGAGGAGAGTGGCAGAAGCGTGGGAAACTAGGAGGAAGCATGGGATGTATGCAGGACCCCGGGCAACCCCCACCCCAGGCAGGAGGCAGAGCCTGGGGCTCCTCACATCTCCCAGAGCCCAGCCCCTGTTTACAGTACAGGAGCTTCGGGGTTGGAAATCCTTTCCCCGACTCAAGCCAGGAAGGGGGGCCACCCACTGCGGGTCACCTGCGGACGGCCGGCTTTGGGCAGCCCCAACCAACCCCAGGCTTGGGGTGGGTCCTTTGCCCCAGGGCCTGCCTTGGCTTTGATTTCATTTTTACCATCTCTTCCCTGACCTTTTCTTTCTCCTCCTTTTTCAGCCCTCTCTTCTTTCCTTCTGTCTCTCCTGCTTCTCCCTTCTCATCCCCGTCTCCTTTTGTCTCCTTTTGTGTCTTTTTTCCCTTATGTTTCTCTCTTTCTCTGCCTCAGTCTCATTCTTGTGTCTCTCCCCTGACATACTCTCTTTCACTCTCTCTCCTTCTTTCTTCCTCCTTCAACTTCTATTTTTCTGTGAAAAGCTGACAGATTTCAGAACCACTCAGGCTTAAAATCATACCCCAGAATGTATTTAATGTCATTCAACGCTGTACCCTAAAAATTGGTTAAAATGGTACGTTGTAGGTTATGTATATTTTACCAAAAATTTTAAAGAATTCCAAGAATTTTAAAAGTTAGAGTCGGAGTCTCATTCTCACTCAAAATCTAAAAATAAACGATTTAAAAAAATATTTTATTTATTTATTTTTGGCTGCATCGGGTCTTGGATGCAGTGTGTGGGCTCTTCGTTGCCGTGCGCGGGCTTCTCTCTGGTTGTGGTGCACGGGCTTAGTTGCACCGTGGCATGTGGGATCTCAGTTCCCTGACCAGGGATCAAACCTGCGTCCCCTGCATTGCAAGACAGATTCTTAACCACTGGACCACCAGGGAAGTCCCAAGAAAAGGACTTTTTATCTGATTTTTTTTCCTTTTTTTTGGCCACACCGCACGGCTTGTGGGATCTTAGTTCCCCAACCAGGGATTGAACCTGCGCCCTCGGCAGTGAAAGCATGGAGTCCTAACCACTGGACCACCAGAGAATTCTCCAAAAAAGAAACTTTTAAAAGGAAAAAAAAACCATATCCCAGCCCCCATGCTCTGGCTGTGTGACCCTGAGGAAGTCACTCAACCTCTCTGAGCCCCAGTTTCTCTCGTGGTAAACTGGGATATTAACAGGTCTTGGTGAGGATGGAACAAGGTGGTACCTGTACAGCGTTGAGCACAGTGCCAGGACCCAGCAGGTGCTCAATAAACACCTGTTTCCTCCATCTTCTTTCTGCGTTTTTGTTGGCTTCTTTCCTCTTGAAACCTATTCTTTCTTCTCTGTCCCCCTGAGCCCCTCTGGCCCTGCAGAGCAAGGGGACAGTGTATCCTGCTAGGGCCCCTCACAGACCCTGTGATTATTAGTAACAGGGTGGCTCTTACTCCCCTGCTACCAGGCACACAAGTCCTGCCAGCCCTAGAAATCAAGACACTGTTGTCCCCATTAGCTACAAAGAATGGACAGTGGTCCAGCAGGCCACACCCTTGGCAGCAGTGTGGCTGGTTCCTCCTTCTCTCCACCCCTAGCCCTCCCTGGCACTCTCTGAAGCCTTGAAAACAGGCTGGGGGCCAAAACAGGTGGGATGAGCCTACCCACTAGCTCATGCCAGGTCAAGGCAGGCAGCCCAACTCTGGGTGTCCTGGTCCAGGCACTGCCTGCCACTGGCCATCGTGCTGAGGGGGACACCTAGTCTGGGACCCAAGTCTGGGGGACCAAAGGCCCCTGTCCTCTTTGCCTGCTGGTGACCATTGCCACAGTGTCAAGTCCTGCTGGGTGGTAGTTTATCTGTCCAGCTGTTGGGTGCTCCTGAAACATTCTGGATGGATGACCCCCTTGAGAGGGGCCACTCCTCCAGGCTCCCAGCCTGGTGAATAAAGGCCAGGGCCCCACTCTCCTGCCCCGGGCCATGCAGCGTCGCTTGTAGAGCAAGCAGTCCAGGTAGCCACTGGCAGCAGGCAGGGCCCCTGTCCCCCAAGAAGCCTCTTCCCTCCTGGTGTTCCACCCACAGCAAACACCAGCCCCCTCCAATTTCAATCCCTGGCCATCAGGAGGGGTTCCTCACTGTCTGGGCTCCCAGTGCAAGGGCCCCCCTCCCTCAGGATGCAGGAGAGTTAAGGCAATGATTTCACTGGGAGAGGTCCAGAGAGCTGTCATTCATTACTGGGCAGAGCTCTAACTGGGGCAGGATGCCAGATAGCTGATCTCAGCTCTGCTGGCAACTTGCTCTGGGACTTTGGGCCTGCCACCTACCCTCTCCAAGCCTCAGTTTCTCCAGATGAAAAAGGAAGGGGCTGGATGAGATCCAGATGAGCTGCCAGATTAGATTTGTGTCCAGCCTGGGCTGGGTGCTGTAATTGCCATGATTCATTTAGAATTTACCCTGAGTGTTTTACTCTGATGAAGGAACCAAGGCTCAAAGAGGCTACGTAACTTAGCGAAGGTCACACAGTTGGGGAGTGAAGGTAGGGCCAGAATTCAAACCTGTCAAGAAGCAGTCCAGCCCTCCACCTAACCACCATGCCACAGGACTACAATGTGTACACTCAACAGTCCCGCCTTTGAGGGGCTTATCAGAACCCACAAGCAACCATGAGAAGATGAGCTCAGATACATGATGGCGAGGAGGAATAGCTTTAGGAATTCCGAGACCAAGGGGGTAGTCAGGGAGGGCTTCCTGGTGGAGGAGGCCTTACAGTTCTCCCACAAGCTTTGGGGAGGAGCTTCGGATGGGTGCACTCATCCAGGAGGGTTCATCCCTTTCCTGAACGTAGAGGGTTTTGTCAAGGGAGGATTGGCAAAGACTGAGTGATTCCTTCTCTGTGGGCTGGTGGATCCAGTCATTCAGGGAGGCCCTTGGGCCCTAGCAGGGAGTCACTGAGAGGTTAGGGGTTCCCAGGAAGAGGGGCCTTCCCTCAACTCCAGCCCCACAGGCTCCTGAGCCATGACCAGAGAGAGGCCACATGCTTGCCTCATATTTGTTGAGCCCATTGTCTGTGCCAGGCCCTGGGCCACAGCAGTGAACAGGGCAAAGCCCCACCTCATTCTCCTGCAGGAGATACAGTTAACACATGAACACGTCAATAAATAGTACAGTTCCAGGTAATGGTCAGTGCCATGAGGGAATCAGGCCTGGTGGGGAATGATAACTGCACAGACCAATGTCCAGTGCAGTGGTGGGAGTGCTGAGCGGTACTTTGACAGCTGGTGGGGGTGGGCCAGCATCAGGGGGCTTCCTTTTGAAGTGAGGCCCAGCCCAAAGCTGACAGTGACTGGGAGTTCACTGGACACAGAAAGGACAGAAGAGAGTTCCAGGCAGGGGGCTGGATGTGCAAAGGCCCTGTGGCTAGAGAGGCCAGGAAAACATGAGGGCCTGGAAGACACCCAGTGAGGCTGCAGTGGGTAGATCGTGCAGGGCCAGGAGGCCACGTGGAAGGTCTGGGTCTTTACACTGGGATGACTGGAGACATAGCAGAGGAATGACATGCCATTTGTGCCTTTTGAAGAGCTATCTGCAGGGTGGAAAGTCGATTTAATGGGGGCAGCGGGCTTGGGTTAGACACTGAGTTTCCATGTGAGCTGCAGTGGTGGCTTGGGCCAGGCTCGAGGCAGATGAGATGAGAAAAATGGAAATGTGAGGCACTTGGGAGAGGAGCCCACAGGACTCAGTGGGTTGGAAAGGAGAGAGATACTATGGTCCCATGTCTGGTGTCTTCTGTCCTCAGACCTGCCCCCTGATGGCGTCTCTCTCCTCCTCCCAGGCCTGCAGGTGCGAGAGGTGCAGATCGAGGTGTCGCGGCAGCAGGTGGAGGAGCTGTTTGGGCTGGAAGATTACTGGTGCCAGTGCGTGGCCTGGAGCTCTGCAGGCACCACCAAGAGTCGCCGGGCCTATGTCCGCATTGCATGTATGCCACCCTGACACCCTCACCCCATTCTCCTGGGCCCTTTCCCCTTCCCTGTGGATCCTGGAGAGAGAATTTCACACACAGACATCAGGGCACAGGGATGCCAGCTCAGAAGGCTCCATGACCCAGAACCTGTGACACCTTTGGCCCCAGGATTTCCAACGGCCCTTTTTTGCCTACTTTTATATAAGGAAGCTGCCAGCTTCCTCACCATCCCCGGCCACCATGTGCATAGGATCTCAGCGTCAGGGAGGGAAGCTTGTTCCCCCGAGTCCACCGGCTGAGGCCCCCATCTTGGAGAAGAAGTTCTCCAGGTAAAGGCCAGGTGTCCCCGTGAACATTCCCTTGGTGTGCACTGCCACCTAGTGGCTAGAATGGGGCCCTTCAGGATCCAGCTCTGCCTGACTGGCCTCCTCCCTGCACCGCCTGACTGTGCCTTGGAACACTTTTCCTTCCTTCTCCCAGACCTGCGCAAGAACTTCGATCAGGAGCCTCTGGGCAAGGAAGTGCCCCTGGACCACGAAGTTCTCCTGCAATGCCGCCCACCAGAGGGGGTGCCTGTGGCTGAGGTGAGTGGGGATATGGGGGACTTTGGGCATGGCAGAGGCCAGCCAGGCATGGTATTTACCACCAGCCACAATGCCTCAGCCTTCCAGAGCCCTCGCATTTCACAGATGGGGCTGTCAAGGCTAGAGACAGAGAAGGGAACTGCAACCTCTGTAGAACTCGGCGCATGCCAGACCCCAGCTGGGCCCTCCATAGGCATAACCCCACAGGATGGGGCAGAGCTGGGGCAGGAACCCCCAGGGCTCCTTGGGTTGACCCCAGGCTCAGTCTCCTGCAAGAGAAGTGGCCATATACACCATTTTCCCCCACCCCACCCAGAACCCAAGGCCCCAGCTTTATGTGTATCATAATACGTGCATCTGAGCACAAACTCAGCCCACAAGCTGATCACCCCTTCCTACACCACATGGCCTGTGCATCCGTGGGTGATGCCCTGCTTGTGTCCTCTTACTGCCCTGCTTGTGTTCCAGGCCTGCTTCCTCTCTCCCGCTGCCCGCACTCGTGGTCCTCTAGTCAGAGCAAGGCATGGGGAAACATCTCAGCTTTGTTGCCAGGGACCTCAGTAGAACAGGATTGGGGAAGATGGAACCCTGGGCTTCCAGCTCAGAACCTTGGCTCTAATCACTTAGCTTCCCCCCAGCCCCGGCCCCCATCTGGAAATGAGCTCAGACAGACACCTTCTGTAATAGCTACCCCTCGTGGCTGCTACATGTGCCAGGCACTCGGCACGCTGGTCCTCGTAGCAGCCCTTCAAGGTGGATATTGTCGTCCCATCTTATGGCTGGGAACACAGCACTGGGACAGGTGAAGCGGTCACCCAGGGTGAGCCAGCTAGTGAGTGGCAGAGCTGGCATTTGCACACCCAGGTCTGCCAGACCAGGGACCATGTTTTTAATCACCTGCCAGGCCTCTCACCCTGGCTCAGGGAGTCGGTTTGCGGAGTTAATGAGGAAGACATGTTCTTATTTAGTACCAGTACCTACCGTGAGCCAGGCACGGCCTCCACACTTTCCATATGCTGGTTCATTTCATCCCCACAGTAGCCCTATGGGTAGTGCTATTAAATATCTTACAGTTGATGAAACTGAGGCCAAGCGGAAGTCCCTTCCCAAGGCCACTCAGCTGGTGGGTGGTCACCTTAACCACTGTGTCCTGTAGTGTCCAGCACAGTGCCTGGCCCGCGGAGGCCCTGCCCCCTGTGTCACCACCATGGGTGGACATGGCTAGGACTGCCGTCCTGTTTATGGTCAGGCCTCCCTTCCCCCCAAGAGAGGGCCCACTCCTGGGGGTGCAGGGGATCGGGCCCTGGGCCCTCACAGCTGCGACCGTGCCCCTGCAGGTGGAATGGCTCAAGAACGAGGACGTCATCGACCCCACCCAGGACACCAACTTCCTGCTCACCATCGACCACAACCTCATCCTCCGCCAGGCTCGCCTGTCGGATACGGCCAACTACACCTGCGTGGCCAAGAACATCGTGGCCAAGCGCCGCAGCACCACCGCCACCATCATTGTCTACGGTGCGGCCCAGAGTGGGCTGGGTGGGGGTGCGGGGGAGGACACAGCCGAGGGAGGGGGAGAGCCTGGGGCTATACGGCTGACCCTTCCCTACCCGGAAGCCAGCAGGACCTTGGTGAACGGGTGGGGAGGAAGAGGAGGCCCAGAGAGGGGAGGTGCCTTCGCCAGGTCACACAGCAAAGCCAGTGGTGAAGTCAGGGACTCCTGGGTCCCCAACCAGGAGCACTTGCCCCTTCTCAGGCCCTTTGCTTATCCCTGAAGGGGAAAACCCAGTTCTCTGAGAGTCAGGGCTAAGGCAGGGCCCAGTCGGTATCCCCATCCCTGAGCCTGTTGTTCTAGCAGTTACGGACTACTGCTCAGGCCGGTCATCTGTTCCTTGCTGTCCCCTTGGGTGGGAGGGCCAGAGCCATGGCTGCAATGAGTGTTGTAGAAAGAGCCCTGTACTGGGTTCCAGTTCCAAGCTCCCCATTACTCACAGGGAGACCTTGTGTAAGTGTCAGCCCTCTCTGGACCTTTGTTTGCCATTGTACAATGGGGCGGGGAATAGACAGTGACCTCCTGGGTTGCCTCTGGTGCTGACAGATGCAGCCCAGGTCTGCCTGCTGGTATCTGAGTCCACAGCCCTGGAGGCAGGAGGAGTCCAACTAGGAAGGGCCAGGCCTCAGCAGAGGCGCCTCATCATGGCTGGAGGATGGGGTTTGGGGGCCCCACGGGGCGAAGAGCCATGCCAACCTGCTGACAACTGCTACCCCTGCAGTGAACGGCGGCTGGTCCAGCTGGGCCGAGTGGTCACCCTGCTCCAACCGCTGTGGCCGAGGCTGGCAGAAGCGCACACGGACCTGCACCAACCCCGCCCCACTCAATGGAGGTGCCTTCTGTGAGGGCCAGGCCTTCCAGAAGACTGCCTGCACCACTGTGTGCCCAGGTGAGGCCACCGGCCAGGTGGCAGTCCACCCATGCCCAGCCCCATGCCAGCCCCAGCCCTGCCTTCTGTGCTCTGGTGTCTGACAGGCAGAACAGCCCATCTCTCCCCGTTGGGGTGAGTGAGGGCAGAAGGTGCTTGTCCCGGGCCCCCCAGCTGGCTCACCAGGCTGGACTGGATGCTACGCCCGCTGACCTCCTGTTCTGCCCTGGGCTGCGGGAGACACAGAGGCAGAGGCTCTGAGCTGTGGTCTGAGGGGTGGGCGGTCTGCTCTCCAGGCCGAGGGTTGTCAGCGTCAACCCCCAGGCCGGGGCCCCAGAGGCTCCTGAGGTCAGAGAGCCTGTGCTCCTGCCCTTGACTGCTAGACACACCTGGCCGCTGACCCTGCAGTCCTCTCTTTTTTCTGTGTTACTCTCTGGCCCCATCGGTTGGTCTGTGTTCTCTCTTTGGTGACATGTTTTGTGACTGATGTGGTGTTTTTCACCCTGGGTTTGTGCCTCTGTGTGTACACTTGTGCCCTGGACTGTATCTGCGTCAGTGACCTTATGTGTCTATTTGGGCTGTCTTCACCCACCTGGTGCTCCCGTCTCTGCGCTGGCATGAGGCATGGATTTCTCTGGATGGCATGCGTGTGTCTTGGGTTCCTCTTTCCCTGCTGCACTGTGTGTGTGTGTGTGTGTGTGTGTGTGTGCATGCACTGCTGTGTTGTGCACACATAACTGTGTGTGCATTCTATGCATGCATGTGTCCCCATGCACCACGTGCTGTGTCCCCACAGTCGATGGCGCGTGGACAGAGTGGAGCAAGTGGTCGGCCTGTAGCACCGAGTGTGCGCACTGGCGCAGCCGCGAGTGCATGGCGCCCCCTCCCCAGAACGGAGGCCGGGACTGCAGCGGGACCGTGCTTGACTCCAAGAATTGCACCGACGGGCTGTGCGTGCAGAGTGAGTCCTTGGAAGGCAGGGCCCAGGGTGGGGGCTCTGGAGCCGATACGGGCCCCCTGGCCCCCACCTCCCAGCCTGCAGTGGAGCAGCCCCTTGGGGCCCCTGCCCGCCTGCTACTCTGTCATCTCATCCACGCATCTCCCCGTCACCTCCTCTACCACCCTTTCCCTGCCGTCTGTGTCATTGTCTTTCCCTTTATTTCCCTCAACAGATAAGAAAACTCTAAGTGACCCCAAAAGCCACCGTAAGTCCCATTTCATGGCTGTTCTCTTTCCTCTGGGGGGGATCCCTGGTTTTCCTCAGCTGGCTTTTCCAGGGGGTGGGGTGCAGGGCAAGGTGAGGGGCAGGGAGAGCTGAAGGTGCCCACTACCAGCCCTCCACGGGATTCCCAGCACCTGGCGCTGCATGTGGCATGGTCTTCATCACAGTCAGACAGGCAGACCCTCAGCTGACAGAAAGGCCCTAGGATGCCATCCTGACCCCTCCCGTTATAGGAGGAGAAACTGATTCTCAGAGAGAAGGGACATACCCAAGGATCCAGCCAGGATTCGAACCTAAGTATTTGGCCAGAGCTGGTGCTCCGAGCCCCACCCCTTGGTTGTCCTCTGTGGGAGGGCGCCAGCAAGCAGGCCCACACCTGCCCCTCACTGTGCCCCCAGCAGCCAACTGAAGCCTTCTAGGTCCTTGGGATGCCCGCTGCTCTGCGTCAGACCCTGGGGGCTCATCATCCATCCCCCAGGGGCTATGCTCCGCTGTAGTAAAGCTGCTTGGGCAGACTGGCGTGTGGTAATTAAACCACAATTTCCAAATAATTCTGGAATTATCAAATCAGTAATGAGGCCTTCAGTGCAACTCACAGGGGGGCCAGACTGGTGACTGATTAGATATTGTAAATCACCAGGCAAGTGACCCCCATGATTAGTGACGATGTCATGAGGCGAAGCCCCCAGAGAGGTGGGAGCCCAGCCCTGGGGACCTTCTCCGGCAGTTCTCCTGGGGAGCCCAAGGATGAGGAGAGATAGGGGTCCAGGAGGTGGTAGAAGCAGGCAAAAATGAGGGCTGAGAGCCCTGCCCTACCTTGCTGAAGCTCAGGCCTCCACCAGGAAGGAAAGCGGGCCTTCCTCTCCGAGGGTCCCTGGGGAGGAGAGGGAGTGGACAGGGGCTTCCCGGAGCTCCCAAAGGAAACAAGGGGGAAGGGCAGCCGTCTTGGCTAGGCTGTGCTGTCCAGTGTAGTAGCCACTAGCCACGTGTGGCTTGAAAATTGTATTTATCTTAGCTGAAAATAAATATATTTAAAAACTCATTTCCTCAGTCAAGCCAGCCGCATTTTAGTTGTTTAATAACCACCCGTGGCTAGTGGCTGTCATGGGGGACAGTGCAGACACGGGATGTGCCATCATCATAGAAAGTTCTGTTGGGCAGCCCTGCTTTGGACCCTGCCTCTTGACCCCGACACTTCCTCGCCTAGCTATGCGGAGTTACTTCTAGCTGAGCAGCAGCCTGCCCTGCCCCTCACCCAGAGCTGGACCTCCTCCAGCCCAGCAGCCTGTCTGGGGGCAGGGAGTGTCGACATGGGTTGCCTCCCTGAGCCCCTTCCTTCCCTTCCACCTGCTCCCCTCCTCTCCATCCCATTGCCACGCATCTCATTCCCCTCGTCCTGTTCCCCCTCCCTCCCCCCCCCCCCCCCACCCACCTCCTGCCCTCAGCACAAAATGGAAGGTGAGCACAGAGCGGCTACTTGCAGAGATTTCTGGGAATCAGGGCCTTGGGTTCTATAGAGATTGCTGCAGGCTGCTAGTAAGGCGCTAGGTCTTAATCCCAGCTCTGAGAGGACACTTAGTGGTCCTGTGACTCTGAGCCACAGGCGCCTTATCACCTCCTGGGCAGAGAGCAATGAGTTAACTCTCGGGAGTGTTAACTCCAGGAGTCCCTTTGCCTCTCCATGCCACACGGGGAGGGAAGCAGGGCAGGGGGGCAGGGACATTTAGACCATTTTACTTATAGAGACTGATGCTCAGAGAGGTTCAAGGCTTGCTTGAGGTCACCAGCCTGTCTGGCAGGGCTCAGATTAGAACCTAGCACAACACCAGTCTGTCCCAGGCCCTGCCTCTCCCCGGGGACCAAGGGAATCTCTGGCTCCCTCAGGGCCAGTGCCTCTGCCCCCTGGCCCTCACTCAGCCCTCCTGTCCCCGCAGTTCTGGAGTCCTCGGGGGATGTGGCGCTGTACGCAGGTCTTGTGGTGTCCATCTTCGTGGTGGTGACTGTCCTCGTGGTGGTAGGGGTGGTCGTGTACCGCCGCAACTGCCGGGACTTCGACACCGACATCACCGACTCGTCCGCCGCCCTCACTGGTGGCTTCCACCCAGTCAACTTTAAGACTGCGAGGCCCAGTAAGGACCTGGGAACGCCTGGGGTGGCGGGTGCAGGCAGGGTTCCCAGGGGGTGTGGCAGCCAGCCAGACCAGAGCAGAGGCTCCTGACTCCCTCAAGAGGTTTTCCTAGAGTTTTCTCTAAAGATCACTGGATGAGTTTGGTTACAGAGATGCAGGAAAGAAGAAGTAACCCAGGTGGTGAGTCCCTAAGCTTCCTACCGCAGGTGGCAATGGAACCTTTCAGAGCTGGACGTTTGGGTAGGATTTTGTAAAGGAAGGCGTCCCGGCAGGTGCAGACAGTGGGACAGGGCCAGCGAGGCACGGCTGGTCTGACTGCAGCCCCTGGCCCTGCAGACAACCCGCAGCTCCTGCACCCATCTGTGCCTCCGGACCTCACTGCCAGTGCGGGCATCTACCGCGGACCCATGTACGCCCTGCAGGACTCGGTCGACAAGATCCCAATGACCAACTCACCCCTGCTGGACTCCCTGCCCAACCTCAAGATCAAGGTCTACAACTCTAGCACCACCAGCTCTGGGCCAGGCCTGGCAGACGGGGCTGAGCTGCTGGGAGTCCTGCCACCCGGCACGTACCCTGGTGATTTTGCCCGGGACGCCCACTTCCTGCACCTGCGCAGTGCCAGCCTCGGCTCCCAGCAGCTCCTGGGCATGCCCCGTGACCCGGGGAGCAGTGTCAGCGGCACCTTTGGCTGCCTGGGCGGGAGGCTCAGCATCCCTGACACAGGTGGGTCCCTGCTCTGCTCACCCATCAGTCTGGCCTCAGCATGTCCCCTCTAGACAGTCCCAACACTCACCCAGCAGAAGATAGGGCTTCCCTGGTCCCATTTCACAGATGGGGAAAGTGAGGCCCAAGGGGAAGAAGTGATTATAAAATAGAAGACCTGGAGTCCAGGCCTGCCTCTGCCTCACAAGGGCAGGGGAACTCTCTAAACCTCAGTTTCACCATCTGGTGAGTGGGAAAGTATACCCCGATGTAGTCAACAAACCTACAGAGTGCTGTTGAAAAGGCAGGGCTGCCCAGCTCAGGTTGCAAAACCAGCAGTTGACAGTTTCCCAGCATCATACACTGAGCTAGGCTGGGGCTGGCACTGCACCTTCAGACTCCAGGTCTTTGCCCCATCTCTACACCCCATCGCAATGCCAGTGGCCCCTGTGCTACTTGACAGCCCCTCTGCAGTCAGTGACCTGGCCTTTCCCTGCACCCAGTCCCCTCTCCCCACTCCTTGCTGGTGACCACCAGGAGCTCAGATGTCTTTCTCTCCCTGCTCCAAGATGGGGGCCAACGCCCCATCCCCTGTTATAAGCTCCTGGACTCCCTCCAGCCCCTCCCTACTGACCTCCCTCTCCCCCTAGGGGTCAGCCTGCTGGTGCCCAATGGAGCCATTCCCCAGGGCAAGTTCTACGAGATGTACCTCCTCATCAACAAGGCAGAAAACACCTTGTGAGTATAGAGACCCCAGCCCCGGCCCAGCTGCCCCCTCCTCGGCCTCTCTCTCCCTGCTGCTTGCCCACCTTGGGCTCAAATGTCACCATCTCCCCTTCTAAGTCCGATCCTAAGGCCAGAGGTAGTTCTCCAAGGAAGACATTGCTAGATCTTATTATGTTCACATTTAAACCATGCAAAACCAGCACAACAAATCATAAAACTGAAAGCCAGTTAACCAGCTGGCTACAATATGACAAAGGGCTACTATCCTCACTATGTAAAGAGGTTTGGGAGACCAATAAGAAAAACTGAACATCTCAGTACAAAAATGGACAAAGGATATGAACAAGTGATTCACACACACTCTCTCTTATACACACACACACACACACACACACACACAGCGTCCAATAGGTTATGAGAAAATGTTTGACCTAATTTGTAGTCAAAGAAACAGTCATTCAGACAGCCATAAGATACTGGAAGTTTTTTTACTTCATCAGCTTGCAAAGCTATTTTCAGATATAATAATACCTTCATACTGGTGAGAGAATGGGAACACAGCCCTCCCAAGGTGCGTCGGTGGGAGCGTGGATGGGTACCAGCTTTCTAGAGGGCACTTTAGCAGCACCTATCCACAACATCCCTGGAGTGCAGAACCTTTGAAAATGGGAGCAAAGATTTGGCTATGAGAATATTGCGGAGTAATAGCAAAAATTTAGAAACGATCTCAAGGCCGGTGCCATTCTTCTTTAACCCGTGGCCTCTGGGAGCCCCCAGGGCGCAATCCTGCCTTCTCCCATTCCAGGAGCTGGGGCAGAGCCGGGAGGCCAGCACCGCTCCCTCACTGCCTCCCTCCTGCCCTCCATCCCACCCCAGCCCGCTTTCGGAAGGGACCCAGACAGTATTGAGCCCTTCGGTGACCTGCGGGCCCACGGGCCTCCTGCTGTGCCGCCCCGTCATCCTCACGGTGCCACACTGCGCTGAAGTCAGTGCTGGTGACTGGATCTTCCAGCTCAAGACCCAGGCCCACCAGGGCCACTGGGAGGTGAGGAGCCAAGGCCGGGGGGCCGGTCCCCTAACCCAACCTTCCCCCTTCCTCCTGGCCTAACCTGGTTGGACCCTCTCCAGGGCCTTGGCTGGTACAGCCACCTCACCTCCACTGTCACCCTGCAGGAGGTGGTCACCCTGGATGAGGAGACCCTTAACACCCCCTGCTACTGCCAGCTGGAGGCCAGGTCCTGCCACATCCTGTTGGACCAGCTGGGCACCTACGTCTTCACGGGTGAGTCCTACTCCCGCTTGGCAGTCAAGCGGCTCCAGCTGGCCATCTTCGCCCCCGCCCTCTGCACCTCTCTGGAGTACAGCCTCAGGGTCTACTGCCTGGAGGACACGCCCGTAGCACTGAAGGTAAGGCCAGGCCATGGGTACCCACACGGGCCTGCACGCTGCGGGTACCTCGCCCACAGCCGGCCAGCTGCATGGTACCTTCCAGTATCCCCCTCCCCAGGATCATGGTACCTGCCAGGCACCCTCTGCCACCATCAGCCTCATTCAGTCATTCATTTGTTTCTCAGACATTGAAATCGCATCAGATCCTCGAGATACAAAGATGAGTTGGGCACAGTTCTGCCCTCACCAAGCTGCGGGCTAGAGGTGGGAGACAGACCAGGGGATCACTGATGCGGGGCTAAGGGAACATCAGCCTGGGAGGGGCTGGCAGGTCCTGGTTGTTGGGGAGGGGGTCTGAGAAGGCTTCACAGCAGGGCTGACCTTAGACCTAAGCTCCAAGGGACAGGTGGGTGTTCCAGGCAGGGAAGGAAGAAGCGCATTCCAGGAGACAGAGAGGCTTATGCAGAGGCAGGTGTGTTGTTCTGTGTGCCAAAGCGTGCAGGGGTATGAGAGGTGGGGCTGGAGAGACAGGCAGGGCTCAGCCTCCCAACAGCCTTAGGGTCGTGGCAAGGAATTTGGAACCTATCCAGTGGACGGGGGCAGAGACCCGGTGGACACCTGTTCATGGGTGCTCTTTTGAAAGCTACGCAGTGGGAATGGGTAGACAAGAAGCAGGGAGACCAACTGGGAGGCTGCAGCTGGACCCTGGACAACAGACAGTGACAACAGCTGGAGAGGGGCCTGGAGTCTGTTTAGTCAGTAGAATGGACAGAAACAGTGACTGATGGGAGGAACAGAGGGAGGGGGAGGGGGAGGGGGAGGGGGCGGCTGACAGCCAAGCTCCTAGTGTGTGCAAAAGAACGGACAGTGCCCTTAAGCGAGGGAGGTGCATGGCAGATGAGAAGGGGTTCGGGGCAGGAAGAGAGAGAAGGTGAAGGGACCGGATTTTAGCACCTAGAACCTGATAACAGCAGGTGTTAGTACCACCCTGTCCCCCCAGCCTCTAAGACCCTGTCCATTCTCTGCCCAGCCCTCCCACCAGTTCCCAGGATCTCAGTCTCATCCTGACAAACAGTGGAAGAGCACAGAGCCTTGGCCCTATTTAAACCCCTTTTCCTTCTCCATCCTTCCATCCCCTGCTGCTATGAAGCCTTCTTTCCTGTAGCTCCAGGCCTCCTCCAGCCCACGATCTGTGGGCCTTTCTATCTCCTTTGCCTCTCAGTCTCATGTGACTTGTCTCAAACTCCAAGTTGCCGACTGATGCAACACAGGTTAAAAGGCCTTGTGGGAGAGTGAGTGTCTTCTGCTGGGACCAGGCTGACCTGAACTTGAAGGAGGCCCATAATAGCTAGAGGCTCCTGGGAAATGCTCTTGAAACCTGGATCCCTTGGTATTAGGGCATTGGCTAACATCTAGTTATAGTCAGAGAATGGAATGGAGATCAAGAGGGAAGTTGCCACATATTGGCTTGATGGCGTTCTTTATTTTTTCAATCCCCATCCATCCATCTGTCCATCCATTCATCCATTCACCCATCTATCCATTCACCCATCTATCCATGCATCCACCCATCCACCCAACTTTCTGCCCATCTGTCTGTATATTCATTTAGTCCATAATCTATCTGTCCATCCAGCCATCGCTCATCCACGCATCTATCTTTTCTTCCATCTGTTTGTTCTGTTTCTGTGCCATCCATTTGTATGTTCATCTGCACGTTTTGTCTGTCTGTCTGTCCATCCGCTTGTCAACCCATCTATTTATCCATCTACTTAACCATCCATCCATCAGTCCATCTATCCAGTCATCTGTAAATCCATTCATCCATCCACCTGTCCCACCGTCTGCCCATTCATGCATCTGTTTTTCCCTCCATCCATTCATTCATGCATCTCTCCACACACTAAGTCTTCTGTGAGCACTTACCAAGTCCCAGCCCTGTGGCTCAGATGGTTCCCTGCCTTCAATGTTACAGCCTAGTTCCCTCTGCCCATGTGTGTCCCCAAGCCCCAAACTTGCAGAAGGAAAGGGCCCTTTGGCCAAATGTGATGGGCTCCCCCTTCTCATTGCTCCCTGGCCCACAGGAGGTGCTGGAGCTGGAGCGGACCCTGGGTGGCTACCTAGTGGAGGAGCCAAAACCCCTGCTGTTTAAGGACAGTTACCATAACCTGCGCCTCTCCCTCCACGACCTGCCCCACGCCCACTGGAGGAGCAAGCTGCTGGCCAAGTACCAGGTGAGGGCTGGGCCGCAGGAGGGGGAGGGATGGAGCTGGGGAGGGGCGCACCTGGGGGGCTGCCCAGAGAAGACCAACTCCCCTCCCTGCCTCCTCCCTCGGTCCTGCAGCCTTGGTCCCCACTCCCACCCCTGTGTCTCTCTCTGTCTCCCTCCCCCTGCCACCCCTGTCACATACTCCCACACACAAATATCTGTACCCGTCGTCTTTAAAGAGACCTTACCATCTCTAAGAGCATTCGTGGCTGGCAGATGGTCCAGACTAATCTCTGATGGTCACATCCCTCTGTCCGCGCCCATCTGTGTGACACCATTGAGTCCCCAAGGCTTCCCAGACCCAGACACATGCACACACACAGCCACATATTCAGACTCGTGCCTTCTCACCCATATACTCCCTTTCTCAACTGAAGGGCCCTTGCCCAGCTCTTCTTCCTCTGCCCACCTGGATGGAGAGGTCCCAGCCCTCCCTGAGGCTGGCCCCCTTACCTGCCTCCGCCTCCATTCCCCGAGGGCAGGGCAGGCTGGCCTCGCCTCCCTGACCCTGCCCCTCCTCCCCCAGGAGATCCCCTTCTGTCACATTTGGAGTGGCAGCCAGAAGGCCCTGCACTGCACCTTCACCCTGGAGAGGCATAGCCTGGCCTCCACGGAGCTCACCTGCAAGATCTGCGTGCGGCAGGTGGAGGGGGAGGGCCAGATATTCCAGCTGCACACCACGCTGGTAGAGGTGAGGGCCAGAGAGCGGACGCCCCACGGGGCTAGGCGCTGCAGCGTGCAGACCCCAGGCTCCCCCTCATGTGGGGGAGAGGCCACCTCCCACAGAGCTGTGCCCCTCACCTCCCAAGTCTGAGCTGGGACTTGGTCACTCTTTGCTAACAGCTGTGACTTACTGAGTGCCGACCCTGGGCTTGGCCTGTACCGAATCTCACCAAATCTGTACAACCACCAGGGAGACAGATACGAGGATCCCCACCTGGGAGATGAGAAAGAAGGTTTTAGGAAGGGCAGGTATCAGGACCTTGTATCAAGCCAACACTTGGCCCAAGCCTGTGGCTCTCCACCACTATAATCCAGATTGAGGTTTATAAAACCTAGGCCACCCAGGGAGCAGTGCTAGGCCCTCCTTTCAGTGCAGTGTAAAGAGCACTGGATATAGTCTAGACCAGCGGTCCCCAACCATTTTGGCACCAGGGACCGATTTCATGGAGGACAGGTTTTCCACGGACGGACGGGGGTTGGTGCGGGGGATGGTTCAGGCGGTAATGCGAGGGAACGCCGATGAAGCTTCACTCGCCCGACCCCGCCACTCACCTCCTACTGTGCGGCCCGGTTCCTAACAGACTGCGGACCGGCTGGGGACCCCTGGTCTAGACCTAGCTCTACCACTAACATGGCATGTGACCATGGATTAGTCACTTCTCCTTTCCAGACTTGATTTGTGTTTGTGTAAAAGGGGGTCCACGTGGATTAGACTGGGGCCAAGGCCCCTCGTGGCTTTGTAATCACGAGGTGGCGTCAGCACTGGCCCAGGCAGTGCCTTAGCATGGGCACCCCGAGGGCGGGGAGCGGGTGTACAGCCCTGGCCCTGGAGACGTAGTCACAGCAGCCGTGGCAGACCTTCCAGGGGAGGAGCCCTTTGACTGAGCAGCTGGAGCCTGCCCAGAGGCGGGGGAGCGGCCGGAGCCTCCAAGAGCTCACAGTCCCCAGGCAGGAAGGCTGGAGGGGCAGATGCCCAGTGAGCCGTGCACAGGGAGCCCTCTGCCCCTCTCACCCTTACCCCCTGCTCTTCCAGACGCCTGCTGGTTCCCTGGATGCCCTCTGCTCCGCCCCCAGCAGCACAGTCACCACCCAACTGGGACCCTATGCCTTCAAGATCCCCGTTTCCATCCGCCAGAAGATATGCAACAGCCTGGACGCCCCCAACTCGCGCGGCAATGACTGGCGGTTGTTGGCGCAGAAGCTCTCCATGGACCGGTGAGTGTCGGGACAGCCCGCCTGGCCTGGACCAGAGCCGGCCCCCTCCCACTGTCCCCATGGGGCAGGTGGGGCAGGCAGCCTGACGGTCCAGGAGCGGATCCGCCATTTGCGGTAGACCAGGAGCTCAGGCTTGGCTGTGCTAAGTCTGAGAAGCTGGTTCCTTGAGGAGCATCGTGCTCAGTGCTGGCCCTTGAGAATCCGGTGAAGCCAGGATACCAGCCAAGCGTGATCACCGTCAGCAGTCCTGTGTCCAGGACAGAGCAAGTGTTTTGGAAATGCTTGCTGGGTGACAGAATGCATCCTGGTGTCAGAACTCTTCTGGAGAACTTAAAGTGCTGGATGAATATAATGGCATTTAGTCATCATTATTGTTATGGTACACTTACTGAGAAACCATTTAATACACCTGCGTCGAGCAGATGCCATGTAGAAGACATCTCACTCAAAATGGGTGGGATCTATAAGGATGTCAAAGCCTTTGTTCCTGATTTCAGGGCAGTGCATGGGGCGGGTGAGAGCAGGCGGACGACGAGTGTGGGATGGAGAGAGAACGGAGTGCTAGGTTTGGGCAGCCTCTCCTGGGGCCAGTGTCTTTCAATGACAGTAATAACGATGCTGATGACATGATGAGCAGGACACTTTCCATTTTAGAGGTGAGACTGGGGCTCAGAGAGGAGCAGTGACTTGCCCAGGGCCACACAGCCTGCAGGCAGAGGGGCTGGGAATTCAGACCCAGGATTGTGGGAGCCCAGAGCCCACCGTCCCGGTGCTCCTGGGATGTACCCTCAGTGCTCTCTCCACCCCAGGCTCCTGGGAGGGGCTGAGCATTTTGGGAGCCCAGTGTCCTTCTCCTTCCCTCCATCAGGTACCTGAACTACTTTGCCACAAAAGCGAGCCCCACGGGTGTGATCCTCGACCTCTGGGAAGCGCTGCAGCAGGACGACGGGGACCTCAACAGCCTGGCGAGTGCCTTGGAGGAGATGGGCAAGAGCGAGATGCTGGTGGCCATGGCCACCGACGGGGACTGCTGAGCTGCCCCAAACCCGCGGGCTGTTAGGGACCAGCAGGCGGCTGGCACAGGCATGCCCCAGGGCAACTTCCTGTGGGGCGGTTGGGCCTCCTCTGCTCCTGAGCTCACAGCCAGAATCGCCCTTCCTCCTCCTCCTCCCCTTGCCCACCCCCCCCCCCCAGACCACGACCAGCCTTAGGAAATCCATGGACGTTGTTGTTGCGAGGACCCAGTGGTCCTTCTCCACCTCCTGCTGTCTCTCCTGACCTCAGACCGCTGTGCAGGAACCGGGGTGGGGATGGGGCCTCTGGGGGCAGCTAGGGGAGCAAGGAGGTGGCCCTCCCACCCTGTGCCCCAGGGTCTCAGGGCTGCATCTGTTTTAGTTGTGCTCTTCATTTTCTTCCTCAGCTATTGATTTCTCCCTCCTCCCTAAGCCCCTTTCTCCTTTCACACTGTTTTCCTCTTCCAATAGTCAAGTACAATTCAGACAAACTGCTTTCTCCTATCCACAAGCAAAAAGGAAGAGGAAAGAAAGAAGGAAAGAAAGAAAGCTTCAGACTGCTAGTAAGGCTCAAAAAAAGAAGAAAAACACCAAAACCACAAGGGAAAAGAAAACCCAGTTTCTTAGGAAACGCAAACGATTTATTATCCAGATATTTGGATAAGTCCTTTTTAAGAAAAAAAAAGAAAATGAAAATGAAAAAACAACACAAAAAAAAAAGAAAACACTTTTCTTGAGTATGGGTGAGTGTGGGCATGCTCGTGGTTCTGGCCAGGAGCGTGTGTGTGCGTGTGTGTGTGTGTGTGAATCAGGGAGAGAGAGACTGAACAGGGAACACTTTGCTGCTAATGATCTTATCTTAGACTAAATTCTTGCAAGGCCAGCTTCCACGGTTCTACAGGGTCAGGTGGGGTTTGAGCTGTGGCCCCATGTTTCTTTCTACAATCTTAAGCCTGAGCTTCTGGGGTCAGTGTGGCTTTGAGGAGCATGTTAGCAGCCATCCCTGCGGGTGGCATGGGAGGCTGGGAGGTGGCTGCTTGGCTGTGCTTTACACACTGGCCCGGAGTGGAGGAGGCAGGGTGGAGGGCTATTTTCCCAGCTCTGATCTCCACAGGCACCCCCTGTCACCCTCCCTCCACAGTCTGACAGAGTCTGAAGGAAGCTTTGACAGGCAGCATTGCCAGGGTGGAGGGTCTGGCACCCCCTCTCCAGCCTGTTCCAGGATGTTCCAAGGGGCCATCAGGGTCCCTTTTTGGCCATCTGGTGATGGCTGGAACCAGAATCTTGAGCTGGCACAGAGGCCACATCAAAGGCTTCTCCTCCTTGGCACCCAAGCCAAAGCAAGTGCCACCTCTGGGCATTGACCCCAGGGCTTGCCCCAGCAGGTCCATGAGCATCCTGGCCTTTAAAAGTCTGGTCTCCTGGGAGGAAGGCAGGTTTGGGGGCTGTAGTCCCAACCAATGTCCCCAGCCTGGCTTTCCTGCCATGCACCAGGGGGCTTATGGGGATAGTGAGATTCTCACAACCCACCAGCCCCCCTGGGCAATGGGTTGGCTGTGGGCAGTCAAGGGCCTGCTGGGTTTGAGAGAGGGTTCGTTTTTATCAGGGCTGCTGAAGGGGCCAGGCCTGCATCGGGCTTGGGCCCCTGAGGCTGAGACCCTGGCTCTTCATTACCCCAGTGCCTGTGTGGACATTGCCTCAGACAAAGGCAGTGAGCCTTCCCTGCCAAAGGTGCCTGTCCACTACAGGCTCAGCATCCCGGCTCGCTCCTAGTCTGAGCTGTGTGGGCCTGTGTGGTAGCTTGAGGGCAGCCTGGAGTCAGCGTTCAAGCTCCAGCTTTGCCATTAAACCTCTGTGTGACTTAAGGCATATGACTGCCTTCTTGGGGCCTCTGTTCCTTTTTCTACCAAGGCCCCACAGCTGCTGATTGAGGACTTTGGGGCTCTGATACGTCATTCTAGTCTCCTGATGGGAACGCTAGTGGGTAGAAGTTGACGGTGGTCTGCCATGTCCCTCCTCCCTGCCCCACCCTCAGAAGCGTGCTGCTTCTTCAGTGCCCAGGACGGGAGCTCTTGGTGGATGAGGCCAGGCCAGCCCCCCAGGTGCCATTTCTAATTGGATTCCCAGAAATTGTGTACCAGGGCCTGGAGCACAGAACCAATTGGCTGAAGCCTCCTGGGAGTTCAAACTGTCCAGCTTTATAAGAAAAGCCTGGAAAAGATTTGCTGGCTCCATCAATCTGCCACGGCTGCTGTGACTACGTCTGCAGACTGCCCGCCTCAGGGTGCGATGGACGTTCCTCCCCTTATTCAAGCCTGAGAGGCAGCCCCACACAGCCGAGTACCTTGAGAACCGCAGATTAAGTGCCACTGCAGGAATGCAGGGCCCTCGCGCGCTGTTGACGTCTCTCTCATCTCTGTGGTGTGTTTGCGCGTGTGTGCGTGTGCGCGTGTGTGCGTGTGGGGCGGCTTTTATCCGCGGGCACATTAGCATGCCTCTCCAGGAACGTGACCCCACCTGTGTGTGCATGTGTGCCCTCCTCGCGTCCAGGCTGGGCCATCTGGAGGTTGGTGTGCCTGGTTTTGCCCTCTCTGAGTCCACAGGGTCAGTCGGTGTATCTTCTATGTGCCTCTCCCTCGGCCTTCCCTCGCAGTGCCCTGGGCTCCAGAGGGACCCTCCCCACTCCTGGAAGATCCAGGACCCTCTGGTCCCTTTTCCCCAGCAACCAGGCAGCTGAGCCAGGTCCCTTAGCAGGCCCTCTGAGGAGAGGTGACCAAGAGCCTGGGTGCAGGGAGCAGCTCTCCTGTGGGCCAGGGGCTGGACCACTCGCCTGGGCCATGGACATGGTTCTATGCTCGGGGCTGCAGGGATGGCCCCAATCCCACCTCTGTTTATTCTGTAAACTACAACCTGTAAATAACATTTAGCATTCCTATTGTAACAAAATTAATTTTTATGAAATAAATTATATTTCCTAGTCTAATAAAAAATTCAGGTTGTATTCTGTCTTTTTTCTTTTTTTTAAGATTTTTTTGGTATGGATGGACTTTTTTTTAATGTCTTTATTGAAGTATAATTGCTTTACAATGTTGTGTTAGTTGATGCTGTATAACAAAGAGGATCAGCTATATGTATATATACATCCCCATTTCTCCTCCCTCTTGTGTCTTCCTCCCTCCCACCCTCCCTATCCCACCCCCTAGGTGGACACAAAGCACCAAGCTGATCTCCCTGTACTATGTGGCTGCTTCCCACTAGCTATCTATTTTACATTCGGTAGTGTATATATGTCCATGCCACTCTCTCACTTTGTCCCAGCTTACCCTTCCCCCTCCCTGTGTCCTCAAGTCCATTCTCTACATCTACGTCTTTATTCCTGTCCTGACCCTAGGTTCTTCATAACCTTTTTTTCTTTAACATTCCATATATATGTGGTAGCATACGGTATTTGTCTTTCTCTTTCTGACTTACTTCACTCTGTATGACAGTCTCTAGGTCCATCCACCTCACTACAAATAGCTCAATTTCGTTTCTTTTTATGGCTGAGTAATATTCCATTGTATGTATGTGCCACATCTTCTTTATCCATTCATCTGTTGATGGACACTTAGGTTGCTTCCATGTCCTGGCTATTTTATTTTATTTATTTATTTTTTTTCAGGCTATTTTAAATAGAGCTGCAATGAACATTGTGGTACATTACTCTTTTTTTAAAAAATAAATTTATTTATTTACTTATTTATTTATTTATTTTTGGCTGTGTTGGGTCTTCATTGCTGGGCACGGGCCCCCTCTGGTTGCGGCGAGTGGGGGCCACTCTTTGTTGCGGTGAGCGGGCTTTTCACTGCGGTGGCCTCTCCTGTTGCGGAGCGCGGGCTCTAGGCACACGGGCCTCAGCAGTTGCAGCACGTGGGCTCAGTAGTTGCAGCTCATGGGCTCCAGAGCACAGGATCAGGAGCTTTGGCGCACGGGCCTAGTTGCTCTGCAGCACGTAGGATCCTCCCACACCAGGGCTCAGACCCGTGTCCCCTGCACTGGGAGGCGGATTCTTAACCACTGCACCACCAGGGAAGTCCCACATGAATCTTTTTGAATTATGGTTTTCTAAGGGTATAAGCCCAGTAGTGGGATTGCTGGGTCTATGGTAGTTCTATTTTTAGTTTTTTAAGGAAACTCCATACTGTTCTCCCCAGTGGCTGTATCAATTTAACTTCCCACCAACAGGACAAGAGGGTTCCCTTTACTCTACACACTCTCCAGCATTTATTGTTTGTAGATTTTTTGATGATGGCCATTCTGTCCCATGTGAGGTGATACCTCATTGTAGTTTTGATTTGCATTTCTCTAATGATTAGTGATGTTGAACATCCTTTCATGTGTTTGCTGGAAATCTGTATATCTTCTTTGGAGAAATGTCTATTTAGGTCTTCTGCCCATTTCTGGATTGGGTTGTTTGTTTTCTTGATATTAAGCTGCATGAGCTGCTTGTACATTTTGGAGATTAATCCTTTGTCAGTTGCTTCATTTGCAAATATTTTCTCCCATTCTGAGGGTTGTCTTTTCATCTTGTTTATGGTTTCCTTTGCTGTACAAAAGCTTTTAAGTTTCATTAGGTTCCATTTGTTTATTTTTGTTTTTATTTCCATTTCTCTAGGAGGTGGGTCAAAAAGGATCTTGCTGTGATGTATGTCATAAAGTGTTCTGCCTGTGCTTTCCTGTAGGAGTCTTATAGTGTCTGGCCTTACATTTAGGTCTTTAATCCATTTTGAGTTTATTTTTGTGTATGGTGTTAGGGAGTGTTCTAATGTCATTCTTTTACATGTAGCTGTCCAGTTTTCCCAGCACCACTTATTGAAGAGGCTGTCTTTTCTCCATTGTATATTCTTGCCTCCTTTATCAAAGATAAGGTGACCATACGTGCATGGGTTTATCTCTGGGCTTTCTGTCCTGTTCCATTAATCTATATTTCTGTTTTTGTGCCAGTACCATACTGTCTTGATTACTGTAGCTTTGTGGTATAGTCTGAATTCAGGGAGCCTGATTCCTCCAGCTCCATTTTTCTTTCTCAAGATTGCTTTAGCTATTCAGGGTCTTTTCTGTTTCCATACAAATTGTGAAATTTTTTGTTCTAGTTCTGTGAAAAATGCCATTGGTAGTTTGATAGGGATTGCATTGAATCTGTAGATTGCTTTGGGTGTATAGTCATTTTCACAATGTTGATTCTTCCAATCCAAGAACATGGTATATCTCTCCATCTGTTTGTATCATCTTTAATTTCTTTCAGCAGTGTTTAATAGTTTTCTGCATACAGGTCTTTTTCTCCTTAGGTAGGTTTATTCCTAGGTATTTTATTCTTTTTGTTGCTGTGGTAAACGGGAGTGTTTCCTTAATTTCTCTTTCAGATTTTTCATCATTAGTGTATAGGAATGCAAGAGATTTCTGTGCTTTAATTTTGTATCCTGCAACCTTACCAACTTCATTGATTAGTTCTAGTAGTTTCCTGGTAGCATCTTTAGGATTCTCTATGTATAGTATCATGTCATCTGCAAACAGTGACAGTTTTACTTCTTTTCTGATTTGGATTCCTTTTATTTCTTTTTCTCTCTGATTGCTGTGGCTAAAACTTCCAAAACTATGTTGAATAATAGTGGTAAGAGTGGGCAACCTTGTCTTGTTCCTGATCTTAGAGGAAATGGTTACAGTTTTTCACCAGTGAGAATGATGTTGGCTGTGGGTTTGTCATATATGGCCTTTATTATGTGAGGCAAGTTCCCTATATGCCTACTTTCTGGAGGCTTTTTATCATAA